CTGATAGGGGCTCTTGAGAGACAGCAAGGGGTCTGAGTGTCTGGGCTTGGGAGTGTCCTGGATAAAAACCAAGATCCAGACCTTAAATGACCTGTTGGGCACAGCCATCAGCAGTGTGTCTGAAAGGGGTGTGTGGAGCTCCTGATATCTTTGTAAGGTCCAAGTCTTTAGAGTCCTAGTGCTACCAGTTGTGTGGTATGGCTGCCAGACATGGATGCTATCCAGTGACTTGAGATGAACACTGGACTCCTTTGGTACTGTGTCTCTTTGGAGAATCCTTGGGTACCACTGATTGTCGAATGAGCAGTTGCTTAGAGAGTCCCAATATGAGGCACATTACCTGTATTGCTAGAGTGTGTAAGTTATAAGTACATGGCACTATGGTCTTGTGGCACCACTCCCTGAGGGTGATCCGGCTCACAGGATTCTCATTGCTGAGGACCCGAGCACCTAGATCAGGCCAAGGGGATGTCCACATCACACCTGGCTGCGGCAGACAGACAGCAATTTCCAGAGGGTGGGATTGTACCACGTGTCAGCCTGGGGGGGGGGGTTACTAAATATGATCCTGAGGTGTTTTGTCATGTGGTGGGTGCAGCAACATGCTGTACCAGTGCATGCTCCCCAACCTGACCTAATGCTGCATTCCATTTGAACTCGTAACTCGGAAATTCAAATTCAGAAATTTCAACTGGAATGCCTGCTGAAGTTGAAACTTCGACTCATGAACTCAGAGGAATCTACTCAACCCCAGAATTCAGAATTCAAGATGGCCGCACCCTTTATCAACAGAATAAGCTGTAATTTTACACTGTTTGTCATGACCTGCTCGTACAATCCTCCTGTGTGCCACGTTCCCCTCGTTTACCTCGGATGATTTCCTGATGTACCCAGCTGTCCTGCGTTATTCTTGATTTCTCCTGTGTATTTAAGTCCACGTTAGAGTCTGTATCCCCAGGTCTGTCATTAACGTGTATACCGTGTCGTGTGCTTATGGCTTGTGTTTCCCCAATAAATCCCATATTTTCGACTCCCGCTTCCAATCTGCGGTTCCTGCGTGCACAACCAGAAGTGACAGAATGACAGACCTCAAAGAAGATGCACCTCAGCTAGTCAATCACCAACGCATCGGGTTGGTCCAAGAGGTCATTCATTGGTTAAATCAGCCCAAGGTCCAGGAGGACCCTGTGGTGCTGGACTTAGCCAGCTGGAGTGTTACCCTCCTGAGTGAGATGACTCCGCCTGGGAACGTTCACCTCATGAGCGAAGTGCGCACAAACCTCCGGCAGCTGGTGCAGTGCGTAACTGAGAGGAGGACCCAGCTAGTCACGCTGCACATGACGGAGGTTGCTGAATTGCCGTCCATACTCCTGGAGATGGCCTAGCCGACAGCCAACAACTGGAGAAAGAAGAAGAAGAAGCTAAAAGAGAGGAGACAGGCAGAAGAACCAACGATCTTCCTGCGGTCCATCTCTCTCTCCGCAGCTTCTCTCTCCATCAGATATCGGGAGGGACCCCTCTTGATCCAGGATCCAGCAGGACTCACTCCCGTACATCACCGCTGCTCAGCTCATGCAGGGGCCCAAAGCATGTAGCGCCACCAAAGATCCACTGCTCGTAGCTTACCACTACCAGGAAGCATGCCTGGCTAATAAAGGGGCCAGGGCGGTATGGGACTCTCGCGTGGGTCCCGAGCGTCTACCCGTAGGGTGCCAACCCTGGCGACATTAACTGATATCCCTGATCTGCCTGTGTGGCCAGTTCTTCATCTGCCTGTGTTGCCAGTCCATGGTCTACCTGCCCAACTAGGACACGCGGTTGACATCCCGGCCCCAGCAATTTTGGTCCCGGCAATCGATGTGCTGCCCAGCAGGGCTCCAGTCCCGGTGCCCACTGTGCAGCCATCCTCCGGGATGTCTGTGGCACTGCCCTCTGAGCCGCTGCCCGTGCCTGAGGTCCCGGAGGTTCCAGAGCTGGCGGTCCCTGCACCGTAGCCCGCAGAGGCTCCCGCTGCGTCCGAGGCCCCTGCAGTGCTCCCAGTGGTACCTGCAGCACTGCTGCCCTGCGGGGCTCCAGTCCCGACAATTGCTGCACCACCCTGCGGGGTTCTGATCCTGGCTGCTGCACCGCCTGCTCTGGCTGAGGTCCCGGCGCTTCCGCCTCCAACTCCGCCTGAGGTCCCGGCACCTCTGGCTCCGCCCACGCCCGATGCCCCGGCTCTGCCCACAATGGCACCAGTTTCCCCCGTTCCACACCCAGTTCCTGTCCCAACTCCCGCACCCCCAGTACCTGTCCCCGAGGAGGTCCTGGATTGCCTAACCACTGCTCCTTTCCCCTTGAGGGAGGAGGAGCTCGAATGGGACCCGTCGGGGATCTCCCTGATGGCCCCACTGGACCCCTCTGGGGGAGTGAATTCTCCACCACCGCCCCAGCGCAGTGGATCCCGGCCAGGTCCCCACCTTTCGGTGTCCTGAAAGGGGAGAGGACACATGCGCAGGGGCCGGGAGCCGCCCACCCTGCCCCCTGGCTTGCCCTCTCTCGCCTTAGCTGGGGCTCGGGGGGGTGCCTACGGGTCCTCCGGGTCCTGTTCGGCAGTTGTCTGCGGGCCCCCCTACGAGAGCTCGTCGGCCACCTTCAGTCCCGCCTGACGCCTTGTAGGTCACCTGTGGGTTCCCCTGCATCGACTCGTTGGTCGCCTGCGGGTCCCCCCACTCTGGCTAGTCGATGGACAGTGCCTTTGCCTGCTGTAGCTGTGCCGTCGCCTGCTGCAGCTTCCTCTCCCTCCTGTCCTTCACCGGGGTCCCCTTCACCTTCCTCCTTGCCTCCCCTGGTGCCCCCTCCGACTTCCTCCTCACCTCCTCTGCCTGTCCCTCCAACTTCCTCCTCGCCCCCTCTGGGGTCCCCTCCTGCTCCAGCCTCATGGTCGCATGCGGCCCCTCCGGCTGCAACCCCTCACCCGCTGCAGTTCCCTTGGGCTCCCCGTTGTCCCCAGTCCTTTCCCTTTCGGCCCCCTTGCTTCATCCCTCCTGTGTCTGCTCCTTGTCCCTCTGTGTCTCCTATGTTCACTCCTGACCCTTTCGTTCCTCCTGGTGGTGTTCCCCCTGGGTCTCCTTTGCTGGTGCCCCTCTGCCTGTCTGCGTTCCATGTGGTCTGTCAGTGGTTGTCCTGTTTCTTGTCCCTGTGCCTGTTCTGTGTGTCCGTCCTGTTCCCGGTGTCTCATTGATGGTTTTGCTTTTGTTTTCCAGGTCCCGTGTCCCTGGTCCCGTCTCGTCCGTCGCCTCCTTCGGGGCACGCCTTTGGGGGGGGAGCGGGGGTTTCTGTCATGACTTGCTTGTACGATCCTCCTGTGTGCCAAGCCCCCCTCATGTGATGTACCCAACTGTGCTGCGTTATTCTTGATTTCTCCTGTGTATTTAAGTCCATGTCAGAGTCTGTATCCCCAGGTCTGTCATTAACTTGTATACCATGTTGTGTGCTTATGGCTCGTGTTTCCCCAATAAATCCCGTATTTTGGACTCCCGCTTCCCGACCTTCATTCCCCGGTTCCTGCGTGCACGAACAGATGTGACACTGTTTATTAGCAGTTACATTTTATTTGTGGCTCATTAAATCGGTAGTACACAGAGTTCTATCCACTTGCTATCTGTGGACATGTTGCTCCTGTGTCTTTATGCACAAAATACCGCATAATGTGTTGTTATTGACTGATATTGACTAACAGTAGCTAACAATTAACTGGCCTAGAACTGGGGCCTGTATCAGAAAACAGGATTTCTTGCTTAGCCGCATAATTTGTCAAACTTAAGGTAGTGTAGGTTAAATGTAAATGAACAAAGATCAAAGCCATTTAAAATTGGGTAAATTAAATTCAGTTATCTGGATAGGCAAGAAATCTTGCTTTTTGGAACTGGTCCCTTGTATTGCTAAATAGCTTTCCGACTGTACTAGAATGTGGTTAATTTGTGTGTGATGTCATTCCCAGTTATGAGTTCTGACCTCTGGGGTAAATGGAATGCAGCATAAGAGAAAGGAACAGCAGAATGTTTGAAAGACACTGGACATGTGTATGGTAAAGGTTCAGCTGACCTCAGCTCATCATCTTGTGATAGGATATGCAAAGTTTTTCCCTCCCCTTTTCAATCTAGTCCTTCAACAGGTGCTTGAAGAAAATGACCTCACCTGAAGGTTTCTGGAGTCAAAAAGCGGATCTTAAAGGCACACCTGTAGCCAAGGAAGATCACGGCAGATTTATTTAATCTGTCTATACTTGTCAGGTCTTAAAATGGTTTCATCACCTCCAAGGCAGTGAGCGACATTCCCAGCTTCCCACTGTTATTAGGTGCTGGAGTCACAGGCAGTGTTAGTTTTGGCAAGAATTTTAAATTTAGTTTTAGTCTTTGTCACTTACTGAAAATTGTAGTTGGATTAAAGTCACATTTTAGTCTTTTGTTTTAGTTAAGATTCAATCATTTAGTCATTTTTTTTCATGACCCAGTTGTCCTGATCCTTCCCATCCCCCCCCACCACCACCTCATGTGGACTCCCCATGTTCCCAGCTGTTCCTAGTCATGTTAATAACTGTGGTGTATTTAAGTTTGTGTCTGTGTCCCTTTTGTTAGTCCGGTCATTGACGTTGTACCGTTGCAAAGTCAGTTCTGTGTGGTACTCTGTGTTCCCTGCGTTGCCTTTCTTGAATAAACCCTGCGTTTCCCTGTATCTTTGGACTCCTGTGCCTGCTTCCCCGCTCTGAACAAGTGTGTCATGATATTTTTAGTCATAAGTTCCTCAGACAGGTTAATGATCCTGAAACTGATTTTGCTGAATGATATTTCTCATAGCTGCATAAATTCCCTTGAGAAGCAAGCGTATCCTATGATGGTTAGTTATCTTGGTGGAGAATGTTACTGACTTACCAAACTAAAGTTTGCCTAAAGATTGTTAGAAAGAGTGCAATACAATCATATTTCCTTCACAGGTCATATTTATTTTCTGCATACATCAACAAATACTTTTCTCGGTTTCATTTTTGTTATGAGGTTATAATTTATTTTTTAATAAATTAACTGCATGGCCATTTTGTACTGTAATAATTTTTGTTATTAGGGCATCTAAACACTTATCAAACACCCATGAACCATGCGCAAAACCTGTCTTCACAATTTACAATAACACTTCTTCAAAACAAAAAGTACATAATACAGTAAAATTGCTGAAATAACAAAAAAAAATGGACATTAGTAGGACTAAGCATTAACCTTATGCATCCCTTTCAGTTTATTAGATATAGTTTACTTATCTCTGTTTCGTTTCAGCAAGATACTTCTCTCCAAGATGACCCTTGCACGTGTGTGTGTCCTTGAACACTAAGAACAAGTCCTAAACAAACTGAACTTTAATTCATCCCTCAGGTTTTGCCTTACACTGTGTCTTGCACATTTCACACCTACAGGATTTGACCTCCCTGACAGGTCCAGATATTTAGCCTGCTGTCAGGGACTCGGGAGGTTCTGGCACAGGGGCGGGGCATCGCGCAGGTGGGGAAAGGAGGTGACAATCCACTGATGACTCACGGGAACACAAGGGGTTCATTAACAGAAACTGAAAACACTGGGAACCCTACAAATCACACGGACTACAAGGGGTCAAAAAGCAAATAGGAAAAAAAAAAGACAAAAGTTAAGGGAACAAGGTCCAGGGACAAGACAATAAGGATCAGGCAGGGAACAAAGTACAAATATAAAAACTACTAATGTTCTGGAATACACAATGAAGAGCACATGAAATATATACAGAAACTGAACTGGGTAATACAGGAGTAAGAAATTTAACAATTATCAGGGTAAAACACACAAGGACTGGCACAAGAAAACAGACAACAGGTGACACGACTAATTAAATCAAGGAACTCAAACTTAACAGAGAAAATAAGAAACAGAATCTAACACTACGGGAATAACAAAGACAGGTAAAAACACAACCACAGGCACAAAGCAAAAAACCAAACCCAAATACACGTTACAAAACACAGGAACTAGAAAACTGATTTAAATGAATCAGTAGGGAACAAAATCTACAAAAATACAAAAAACAGGAGACGGGATTTGAACATACAACAGAGGGGTTTAATGACTGCATACTCAGCTCACTGAGCCATGCGCAAGTCTAGGGAGCAGGCAAAACACACTAAAGACTTTCACAACGAGGACAGGATGGCAAGTGACACCAGCTGGCCAAACAGGGAGAAGACACAAAAGACTTGGACAGAGGGGTGCTGACCCTGACAGCCTGCTAGATATCTGACGGGCGTTTGCGATGCACTGCCGACTCTGTTGGGTTGCTTTGTAAATAGTTCACAGATAGCGATCAAGCGCCAATTTGCCAGCTCCGATGGCACACAGATGCCTTAGATCTGGGGGTTTTGTCAGCAATTATCCAAAACTGTTGTCGAACGGAAAATTGGGGCAGTAACACAGTAAGAACTGGTACGTGCACTTGCAGATATATGCATGTAAATGATTGGTTAAAAAGGATAACAATCAATGCTTTTAGATGGCTACTGTGATCTAGGTTGTCTGCCCAAACAGAGCCAGCAATTTTGTCTTGTCTTTACTCGTCAAAGTATAATGAACAGAGATTGTGCTGTAATTTTCATTGTCAACCATTTTTTCATTTACATTGTCGTTACAATTTAGTCAACAAATACTTATCAAAATTTTCATTGACGAAATTAGCACTGGTAACAGGTTTGTTTATCATGACCCTGAGGTAATGCATTTACTGGACAAGGAAGTCCAGTGGCTGATTGTGTGAAATGACTGTGTTGCCGGTTTAATTTCTGATTATTCCATGTGTGTGGACTTTGCATTCTCCTTCTTTGCTGCCCAGGTTTCCTCTGGCTTCCACCTGCAGTCCAAAGACATCCTGTTAGGCAAAGAAGAGTGGCACATTTCCATTGGCATACAGGAACTGAGCTGTACTGAAAAGAGAGACTAGTTACAGCGTGGGTCCAGCTCGCTCCCGTTTTCCACTGCAGAGGGGTCAGCTTGGTAAAAGTGTTGCCCAGTTTGGAGAGCAACAGTGACATAAAACCGGAAATGCTTCTTTCCTGTTTACATGGTGTACATTATGATTTACTATGTGCTACATTCCAGTGGCAAGTCTGTGAGAATCATATTATGTTATCATCAAACACAAGCAAAATTATCATTCGCTTGTGTAAATTTGTGTAATGAATCCATTCCATCAGCTGTTATATTAATAGTTTATTATTTTTAAGTAGGTAGTTTGAAATGTTCAAGTTGAGAGTTATTGAGAATGGATCAGTATATTACGATGTCTGATCCAAATAATGAAAAATATATAGAATATGCCATTTTTTCCTTCAGATAATCCATGCATTTTGATGCAGATCACCAGTATTTCTGTGCATTTCGACCAATCAGAATGTGGTGACACAACCAGCTCGGTTTGGGTAGTAAGTTGGGCCATGTCAGCTTGGGGATGGCTCAGATACGGCTCGAATAATTTAAAATTGAAGATATTCAGTTTGCAGTATGGCTTGGTTCTTGGTTGCAGTGGAAAAGCACCATAATGGCACATTGGACTGACATGCCATCAGGGATGTTCCTAGGATAGGATTCCTCAAATGTGTAATGGATAAGTCACATAGAAGATGGACATATGATTGGGTGGATTATGAAAGGGCAGGATGGTAGCTCAGTTGGTGGCACTGTTGGCTCATTCCTCCAGGATTTGTGATTTGATTCCCACCTTAAGTCTCAGTGTGGAGTTTGCATGTACTCCACATATTGCTCTGGGTTCCTTTGGGCACTTTGGTTTACTCCTACAATCCAAAGACATGGTGTGTGTTTCTGTGACCTTAGACTGGCTCCCTTGACTTGATACCCTAAGCTGAATACGATAGGCTCCAGGCTGCCTCAAACTTGGAAAAATACTTGTGTGATCTCAAAATACCTCATATCACCTAGTAATGGAAGCCTGGTACTTTAATTCCACCAGTCCAGTTGCGCTCTCAGACTTGTAAATAAATTTAGAGGCTCTTGTAGCAATGTGAGCTAGCCCAAAAAAGCTCTGCTCCATGAGATTTGCAAACCTCAGGCTGCTCTCTCATAAATAGACATAAACATTTCTTCCCTTATTAATGTCGTGATTGAGTGCTCCCTTTTTACATGGTTATGAATGACTACTTTAAATTATTGGTTCTATGTGACTGCTTCCTTTTCATTGGTTATGAGTAATTGTGCACATGTGTTTAGCTGTGAATGACCGCTCCTTTTTGATTGGTTTTGAGTAATTGCTTACTTCTGTTTAGCTATGAATGACTGCTTCCTGATTGGCTATGAATGACTGCCCCCATTTCATTTCACTTTGAATGACCACTTTCTTGCAGATGCCTATGAAGTATCCCACAACAGTGTCACATATTCTATACAAGAAATAATTCTGGTCTATATAACAAATGTTGCTGGGCCTTGGGCCCTGGTGAACTGTGGCTTTTCTTTATAGATGGGTGTGGATCTGTGCGGGGGTTTTAGGTACAGCTCAGAAACCAGGCTATGCCATCAGCTGGTTTGGGTACTATCTGGTTTGAAAAGTATCTGTGATGCCAAATTCAGACCCTGAATCTGGCATCACAGAAGAAGAAGGCTCCTCCTTGAAGAAGGAGGCTCCTCTTAGGTTCATCACATGAAAGCTGCACAAAGATGCAGGAGCACAGTAATGACAGGTGTGCCGTACCCTCCCCTGACTAAAAAACATATATTAAAAAACAGAAATTCCACTAAGCTTCCACCCTCAATGTTCCTTGTCAGCAATTGTGCTCAGTCCTGGCAGTGTTTTTCTTGGACGCTGGCTGGGTTTTTTTGGCTGCCCTGGAGAAAATGTATTTGCTCAGTAATCTGAGACCCTTTCTTTTCCCGCGCTCAAGAGCAACTGCAGCAGAGCGGTTTAAAGTCAGCAGTGGGTTACGGTGTCACCAGGCCTCACTCGGAGAGAAACCAGAGAACAGCTGGTGCGTCCAGGCAACAGAGAGACCAAAGAAATAAGCATCCATTCACTGGTATTGAACAGTTCCCACCTAGCATTAAAGGATAAGATCATCAATGAACTGTTCACTGTCTTAAAGAAGAATCTTTATTTTACTGACATTCAACAGGAACTACAGAAAATGCAAAAAACTCTCAGGTATTTTTCTGTGAATATTTGTAGTCATTCCTCCACATTCTGCTGTTCCTAGCAGGCCTGATAACAATGAGAAACTCAGATCATGTGCCTGTGTTATAAAACTCTACAGGTGATCAGTGGGCCTCATACATACAGTAGTTTTCTGTCTGTAACTACATTCCGGCTAACAAGATTCATTCTTACAACAGTCACAAAAAACAAGAGTAAAATTTCAAGACTGCAGGAGATGCTTGGTAGCATCCCATTTTTCCATTCTGTTCTCAAACATGCTCTCATTATGGCAGGAGTTCATTAATACATCGAAATGATGCAGTCCAGATCTTTCTGGAATGTTCTATATGTGAAAGGGCTCCACGAACATTAGAGAATGCAAAGCTTGGGACAGACAGAGGAAGCAAAACTCAAATTAAATGAGTGCCAGTTCCATGGATGAAACTTCTGGTACCAGTCTTAAAGATAGCATTGAGTAACAGAGCACTCAGCATGGGGCTTACCCGCCATTTCACACCCCCACCATCAAAACTCCAGAAATATGTGGCCGAATTCTCTGGCATTAGTATTTTAATTGCTACTTTGGGAGCAGAATGATATCCCATCCACAGGGAGGAATGTTAAAATGACCAGTCTTGTGTGGAGCCTCGTAGCTCGACTCCAGACAAACGGCACCGCCAGGGACCCTGCTGCGGCACTCCCGTCAGCTTCGCCACTGATTCATGGGCTCTGCAGGCCCGTCGTTGGCACGGCGGTCAAATGAGTAGCTAGCACAGATTGTACCGCAACTGAAAAATATGGGGAACAAATTTTGTGGACTAGGTGCCACGTGGCAAAACAGTCAACCAGCTGGACCCGTGGAAACAACAAACAGGCCACAAAACATGTGACACTCTAAATTGGAACACATGTATGTGGCATAGATAAGAAGAACAACAACGGAAAGAGGTTGTATGAAGCTTACTGTGAACTGTGCCGGCAGTAACAGTGTATTTCCAGAAAATTCTGCCAAGTCGTTTGCCCTTGATTGGGTCACCATTCTTTTTGTGTTGCTTTCAGGCATTGTCTTTTTTGTTTTCAAGTTTCCAGTTTCATCAACAACCACCCACACACTGAGATAAGTAAATAAATTAAAATATACTAGCTAGAGGTTTATTTTGTTATTGAATAGAGAGCATATTGTCGACCTGTTATGGGACAAACCGCTTGAGCTCATTCTGTGTCACTCCTGAAAGAGACCAGAAGACAAGACTGCCAGCGGCAGGCAGCTCTGATTTGACCGATGGACACATCAGGAGGTGGTCCCTCACTGCGGGGTCAGAGGTCATGCTCACCGGAGTCCCGCGTAGAAATGAGGCGGTGACAGTGAGTTCACTGGCCCTCATCCATGCTGGCTCCCCAGCGTTTGGTTACGGCGACCCGCAGCTTCGGCGACAGCTGTGCCTGGCTCCGGAACTGCTCCAGTACGATCTTCAGGATGTCGTCCAGCTTCCGATCCATCAGCACCACCTTTTGGACAGGACACTTTAAAGTTAGCTTTGCACTGTGTAAGGGAAACACTTTGATAAATCTTGATTCAGCCAATGGCGTGTCTTTTGCTTTTGGTCTTTTAGGTTTATATTGCCAAAACTGAAAATGTTAGTAACAAACAGGCAAAAATCAGGCCTCCCCTTCCCTCTCCCTTTTGTCTGTCAGCTGCAGTGAAAGTGATTTGTAGGCATGAAACAAAATACTTCAGTGTTGCCAAAGCATTTACAATTAGCATTTTAGCATTCAAGTAATTCAGAGAAAATTTTAAATACTGGTAAAGGGCAAAATAAAAGAATGTAAATCACAGAACTGTCATGCCTACTGTCATGTTTGAAAAGCGAACCATTGTCCATTAGGTCCTTGTGTGATTAATAGTGTTCTCACGATCACCAGAGCCCCGCCCAGGCCGGACAGCAGACAGCCACATGCTGATGCATGCCAAGGGGCACACAGTGTGCCTGCCCGTATCTGCCAGGGACTGGGGGTGTGTGCGCTACCTTGTCATGCCTCAATTCCCCTGGGTGTGTATGAGCGGGGGAGTGAGGGGGAGAAAGAATACAACAGGAAATTATAAATGTTTACTGGCTCAAACTGAACCCAAATTGGAGCCAAATGGACCTGATAATTAGAGGAACTGTGACAAAGCACCGCAGAGAAAAAAAAAACAGAACTGAAGCGAAGGCCTCAGAAGATCCACAAATCCTGTCTTTTAGGACCAAAATACAGGGATCACACTTAATGAGATTCCTCCAGCTTGGGCACCTGCAGTAAATTAGCAAAGGACAAAAAATTCCAAATTTTTTTTCTTCAATTCTGACACATTTTATTTGCAACTCACACTTCACTATAAATTTATGCTGCAACATCTATTTTACTGGAGAAAACTGATGGCAATGCAACAAATGCTAGATTAAACCCACTAAACTCATTTTCAGCACATGTATCAGGTCCAGGACCGAGGCAGGCAATCCATCAGAAGATGACAGTGCCCCCTGAATCAGGCTCTTTTGCACAATCTCTGTTCATCTTTCCTTACAAAGCAGCAGGGGACCTGATCACACACTCATTCTGTGAAAACATGAAAGAATAGCTAAACCAGGGTAGCGCGCCACTACAGCGCTCATGTACAGCCGCCTGTTGCAGCTGTCAGACTGAAAGGAAACGCCAGTGAGTCGAAGAGGACGCACCAACTTGCTCTGAAAGATAACACGGCACAAGGGGGCCATACATTGTTTTAGACAAACAAGATATAAATCTGATATATGAGCTACTGTAAACGTGTGGGGTCATAAACACTCCAGGGATGTTTTTCTGGCAAGGGACTGTATTTAGCCACCCTGAAAAGGCGTGACCCTAAGGGGACCCAAGAAGACATAAGAAAACAGGCCCCCAATCCCAGGTCAGAACTGTTCAGAAAAAGAAGTGGTTGGATCGGGGAAAATCTCACATGGATTCTGGATAGTCGATGATGAAATGGGTGAGGCTTCACAGGACAGAAATGTACTATTTGTGTCCCATGTGTTGATAGGCTTAGCTTGTTGGGTTAAATTTTCAATGATACTTACAGCTGAAACAGCAGACATTGTGAGATTGTGTGTTACTGAGACACACACTAAGCCACTTTGTTAAAAAAAAAGAAGAAAAAAAAAGAGCTAAAACAGTTAAGTGCTGCCAACTATTTATTTTAGTTTAGCAGTTTAATTTTACATCGTTTTGGGAGTCAAATCTAACATATAGAAGTGTATATGTCTATGTGAACATGTGCTTATGTTTGTTCATAATGGGCACCTTGAGCGTGTGTGTGTTTATATGTGTATTAGTATACCAGAGTAAACATGCATTAGGCTAATGTGTGTACAGTCATGTGAAAAAGAAAGTAGATCCTCTTTCAGTTCTATGGTCTTACATATCAGGATATAAAATAAAAATCATCTGGTTCTCACCAGGTTTGAAAATGATTTAACTCTAACCTCAGTTGTAAGACACACAACAGATTCCACCATGGCATTATTTATTTTGCAAAAAATGAAGCCAAAATGGAGAAACCATGTGTGAAAAATTATGAATCAATAGCTTGAATCTCAACCACCTTTAGCAGTCACACATTTTTCTGGAGGAATTTTGGCCCACTCTTCTTTGCAGCATTGCTTTGGTTCATTGAGGTTTTCAGGCATTTGTATATGCACACCTCTCGTAAGGTCCTGCCACAGCATTTCATTCAGATTGAGGTCTGGACTTTGACTGGGCCATTGCAACACCTTGATTCTTTTCTTTTTCAGCCATTCTGTTGTAGATTTGCTGGTGTGCTTGGGATCATTGTCCTGTTGCGTGAACCAATTTCGGCCAAGCTTTAGCTGTCGGACAGATGGCCTCACATCTGACTTTACAGTATTTTGGTATACAGGGGAGTTCATAGTCAACTCAATGACTGCCCAGGTCCTGTGGCTGGAAAACAAGCCCAAATCATCACCCCTCCATGACCGTGCTTGACAGCTGGTATGAGGTGTTTGTGTTAATGTGCCGTGTTTTCACCAAATGTGGCACTGTGCATTATGGCCAAACATCTCCATTTTGGTCTCATCTCCTGTTCCAGGAGTCTTGTGGTTTGGTCAGACGCAACTTTGCAAACCTAAGCCATGTTTCCATGTTCTTCCTAGAGAGAAGAAGCTTTCTCCTGGTAACCCTTCCAAACAACCCATACTTGTCCAGTTTTTTTCTAATTGTACTGTCACAAACTTTAACATTTAACATGCTATCTGAGGCCTGGAGTGTCTGACATGTAGCTCTTGGGTTTTTTGCAATTTCTATGAGCATTGCACAGTCTGACCTTGGGGTGAATTTGCTGGGACGTCCACTCCTGGGAAGATTGTCAGCTGACAATATTTTTCACTGTAGAATGATGGACTTCGAATTGTTTGGAAATGACCTTATAACCCTTAAATCACCAGATTGATAAGCAGCAACAATTGCTTCTCTAAGGTCATTGCTGATGTCTTTCCTCCTTAACACACACCTGAATTCTCCAGGCCAAAACTTCTTCTTTTATAGAGGTTGTCACACTTGCTGATGATCAATTAATCAAGTGCATTTGATTAGCAGCACCTGCCTGCTACTTACCCTCTTAGTTCCTATGGAAGCAGTATGGGTGTACTTAATTTGTCACACACTGCTTCTCCATTTTGGCTTATTATATGTATATATAATGGTCTGCTAAGGACCATATGATTTTTTTGTCCTTATACATGAAACCATTGAAATTTGTATTGAAACTTTCTTTTTCACATGACCATACAAACACAATATTTCTTTGGGTATTTATGACTGTGTCTATGAGTACTCCTGCACATGTGAGGTTTTGTAGGTGCGTCTGCATGCCAGACAGAGACGCAATGTGCCCAAAAGTGTGAGGGTTCTTGAATGTGTATACGTGAAGGGAGTGTCCATCAAATGTTCCAGAGCATGCTGTGATGGAGAGTCCGTGTGAGGAGAATGTGTGATCTTCAGTGGTTTCCAGGTTCATACATGAGTTTGTGTGAGAGGCAAGTACAATATTTTTACATCTCATTCACAGCACAATTTGTTATGGCTAAAAAAAGAGCCATCTGAATAAGGAATCTAATGCTGAAAGTGCCTGGAGAACCAACTCTTTGGATGCTGAGAGGAAGGATCGCTGGTACATGTATGTTTCTTGTGGTTTTGTCACAAACTCATACAGCACTGAGTAATAGTGACACTATCCCTGCGGCTATCTGCTTTCAGCTGTTCGTTGCAACAGCGTAGGGGTGAAAAAAAATATTCTCATCTTTCACTGTTCAGAAACACAAAACACTGCCATCTGTTAGAGGAACAAAAGAGATATTAAATCACTGAGCTTTGTGGTCCACTGCAGTACCATTAAATCACCAAGCCTTGTGGTCCACTACAGGACCACTAAATCACCAAACCTTGTGCTTCACTGCAGAACTGCTAAATCACCAAGCCTTGTGGTCCACTGCAGAACCACTGAATCACCAAGCCTTACAGTCTACTGCAGTAACCCTACATCACCAAGCCTTGTCTCTACATCACCAAGCTTTGTGGTCTGCTGCAGTACTGCTAAATAATAGAATTTTTGGTCCACTGCAGATACTTACTGATATTTCCATATAAACTCAATGAGATGTACTGATAAAGATCAGATGATACTTCTCTGCTGGCTAAGGGTGAAGCCATCGCTACCTTCCTCGCCTTCACTATCCACTATAATATGTCCTCTGCTAATTGACAGTTAAGAAGGAATGTAGTAGACCACCTCTAAGCAAAAAGAGCCCAACATTTGTTGGGGGTCTTGGCGTTTTCTCTCACTGCACCTCGCTACTTCTCTCTTGCACATTTGGTTCTGAGGATTTGGCAGCTCACCCACGAGCCTGTCCCAGATACTTCCAGCCTCAACATGACTGCATGTGTTGATGTGCCAGAGCAGGAAGAATTTGTATTGGACAAGAGGAAGAGACCCCAGGTAACCCTATCCTCATGGTCATCATTCACAGGAGCTGAGCCAGTAGGAGGGGGCTCCACCCTGTCAGACTGAATTGAATCCTTTTTGATGATATGTTGCACTAAGGCAAGCAAGAATCAAGGAATGTCATGATTAGAAACAGAAACGGGGTGAACACCTGAAGCACATGAGAGGCATGATGACCTCTACCGCAGGCTGCTACGCTATAGCTATGTGGCTGGTTAATCTCCCTCAGAGGGGGCTTAGGCACAAAGCTGCTTTTGTTTCAAAACTGCCTTCACCTTTAGCTACAACCCATGACCTTTCATAGCTGGATCTTTCAGCTCCAGTTTTATGTAGGAACAAACATATCCTCAGTGAATAGCCTGTGGTTTATTGTAGTACTACAGCCTATGATTTACAGTATAATGACTGCCTCTGATTTACAGAATCAACACTGATTTTGTTTTATATTACTAAGACTGCCTTTAATTTACAAAAGTAAAATTACCTCTGAATTACTGTATCAAGATTTCATAATAGTAAGAATGCCCCTGATTTACAGTATCACAACTCCCTTTACAGTAATAACAATCCTTCTGATTTACAGTGTGAAGACTGCCTTTAACTTGCAATATACTGTTTCTGATTTAAAGCAGGGACTTGGGGGCTGTCTGGTGTAGATGAATTTGTGATGCAAATTTTTATGGAAATTGAACTGAACCACAGACAGCCCCCAAGTTTCATAAGATGGATGGAATGAGCTACTTAACAGTGTATTGAACAAAATACCCAGTGAGAATTGTTCCTACAAATACTTTAATTCCTTGTGGGGAGGGGCTTAGTATATAGTGGTATAGTGGGGCAGACTGGGGGAAAATGGGGGAAGGACTATAGAATATGGTGCTGTAGAGATACTGGGGCATCCCAATGGATCTTTCTACCAGTCAGTCCCACAGCTGGAACTGCCAAAGCCCCATTCACCTGCATTGTGCCAACACAAAGTTTCCTCAGTCTGCTTTTCACCACAAGCTAACTGACACTCAGAGCTTGAGCAAAGAGTTAGCCAAAACCCAGGCTTGTAAAACGCCTCTGTAAACATTTAAGCAGTTGCCTTTTCCACCATCTGTTTCAAGGAACAGCTGTAGCTGTCCCCCCTTATCTTTTATAGCTCATGGAGCAAGTGATGGGGCCACCAGATCGCAAACAAGCCCTTTTCACCTCCAGCATCTAGAGCTGCGCTCCATGCGTCTCCCAGAGAACCTAAATTTATGCACCATAACGAATGGGTTCAGCTTTATTATGACTATTAAAATGCTTCTGTCTGCTCCAGCAGAGGTTCTATATTTACCGTCCAGGCAGAAGTTCTTAACCAACGACCTGGTGGGCTTTTCAGGGAACTTAAAAGAGTACAAAACACTGGGTAGATCAATTATTACACTAAACAAGCGCTGTCTTCTTTCATAGTGCTGAAGTTGTCGGTGGTGTAAATAGACATGGGAACCTTCCACATACACTATTCAACCAGGACCTTGCCTGAGATCCACCACCCTGGGTTGTAACTATTCTAAATCTACCATATTATTCAGAAGGCAGTATGGGATCACAGATGTTTCTTCAGTTCAAAAAGTATACAAATCCATATCCTTCCTGATTAATGGAATAGTCAGTTACAATATGGAAGCCATTGAACATGTTTGAGTCCCCCTCCATTATTTGCTAATAAGTCAGTGATTGGTTGAGGAAGCTATAGACAAGAAATAATTACTATATACCACCATGGAGTCCAAAGATGAAGAATATGTGTACATCATTATATATGCATGCTATCTCTCACTGTTAAAGTTAAGTTTCAAGCAGAAATCTCCATGCAGGTCTTTATGTCATGGACTCAAACAGGAAGTTCTAAAAAACAACGCTACATGCAGCATACTCATACAATCCCATAAACAAACTTCTGGTGGTGACTAACTCCTCTTCAGCTAATGATGGAGGGTTTGTCCCAGCACTCCAAGGCCACGCCTGACGAGCACTGTTTTCCCTGGCAAGACCTTAGTGTAGAACAAGATGTTTCTGATTATGTGGTCCACACAAAAAACCCCGAAACACTGGAACACAATCCCCCCTGTCCCGCTTACACAAGTGCAAATAACCTCAGCTGAACTCCTATCCACAGCCATGAAATCTGCTTTGAAACTATGGTCTCCTTTTGTTTTTGCTAGTAGATGGGGAAAAGATGGGGGTGATGTGATGAGCTCTTGCCTACTAATTGCGATGCCCCCACATCTGCAAAACTACTGGCCCTTTCTGACAGAAGTCTGCCACCCCCAGTAGGAATGACAAATCAGATGGAGCCAGCTTTATGTTTAGCTCCCCAGCTCTGAACTTTGTCAGTTTCCAAGTACCAGAGACATTTCTACTGGAACCATCCCCTGCTTGCTACGATTTGGTTTAAAGCTTTTGGTTATGTGGAATTGGGGGGCGGGGAGGGGGGATATGTGGCTCCATGGGCTATACCTCATCCTGAACATCTCAGAAGTGACTCTCATTCTGCCATCATCAGTTATGAAATTAATAAAGACACTTAAGAAAGGCCCAGAAGCTTGACTTCAGTAGAGAGTGTAAGGCTGAAGAAAAGTAAATTTGGATATTTGCTTGGAAACATCCAAGGATCCCCCCAAAAGGTGGTCTGATTTCAAATATCTTTTTCATTTTATGTTGCCATAGATCATAGGCAATCCTGTGAAGGCAAATGTCTGAATGGATTTTCACACCTCCAGTGTCAAACCTGTACCACTTTTTTGGCGATTAAGTAGGGTCCATGTGACCTTGCTCTGAAGAGAAAGCAGGAAGCTCTGCATTCTATTTAAAGTGAACAGTGAGCTTTTCCCTATAGTTAGTCGTTGCTTAGTAAGCATGGGGCTCAGCGATCTGCTCAGTTCGATTCAGAGTCCTATTTTAGTTAGTGTTTTTCTGATGGGTTTCTTTCTGAATTTGTGGTTGTTTGCCTGTATCATGTTTCTGGAGGCACAGTTTAGAATTTCATAGCTGTGGTGTCAGGACTCTGATGTAGAGTTATTGGTAACATTTTACATAAGGCCATGTTTTTAGTAATTTATAAACACATTCATAATAAATAATAATGCACTCATGAAACTTTACAAACATCAAAAGGCATAACACATAGCCATGTGTATTATGCATTATGAATGCTTAATGAAGCTGTCATCTATAATGCACTATAGATAACTTCATAATGCATTATAATTATTATTACAGCCCAGTTGTGGGTGTCCTCCATCAGTTCTGGTGGTAAATCTGTTCAAGAAGAGTCCCAGACTGTGTCTGCTGGGAGAAGGAATGGGGGTGCTGGATGAAAGGGGTGCTCCTCACTGGCCCCCTTCCACACCCCTCCAAG